GGGGCTTTGGGTGTTGCACTGATATCATCCAGTTTCTCTTAAAGCAGGAGTGAATATGAAAGGGACAACATTCTTGTTCTGACCAAGGCTTCCTTAGACAGTAACAATCACACGCTTAGTCCCAAAAACCCTCTTTTTATTTCAACGGCTGTGAATTATACTCATTCACAGCCCGTAATGAGTCCCAAACAGTTTGTGAATAGTCCAACAGAAGTTTACCACAGTCTTTTTGGGATAAGGCTGATAAGCACCCACCTTTATCTCCCTTGTTACTCCCGAGTTGCCCCTTTTGTCTTAACTGTTATTGTCTTCTAGCAGTCTGTGCAAGCGCGCACTGGGAGCAGGCTCCCCCCTATTCCTCTGTCTTGCTGATGTCAGATTCTGGAGGCTCCGGAGTCAGCATATAACTCTCAGATGGCCTTGGCCCCATCTCTGTGTAGGACGCAGATCCTTCGTCCAAATCCTCCCCAGACTCCAGAACTGGCCTATGTTCCTCCCCACTGTCCAATTCTGCTGCCAGCTCCACAGGCCTCCAACGGACCACAACAGTTCTTGCGTTGATTTTGTGATAGTAAATATCCAACCTGTGTGTCTGGATTCTCCAGGTAGTGAAAAGGAAGAATTGATAAGATATACGTTGCAGACACATATATATAAATCTATATATATATAACTTTACAGACTTGAATACAGGTAGTGCTCAATTTACAATCCCAATTGAGCCCTAAATTTAGGTTGTTAAGTAAGAAATTTGCTAAGTGAGTCTTGCCCCATTTTACGACTCTTCTCGCCACGTTTACTAAGCGAATTGCTGCAGTTGTTAAATCAGTTACACGGATGTTAAGTGAATCGGGTTTCCCCATTGCCTCGGCTTGTCAGAAGGTCACAGAAGGGGCTCACATGCCCCCCCCCGGACACGGCAGCAGTCATAAATATGAATCAGTTGTCAAGCATCCATCTGTAAATCGTGACCACGGGATGCTGCAATGGTCGTTAGTGTGAAAAATGGCCACAAGTCACTTTTTTTTCACTGCCGTTGTAACTTCAAACAGTTGCTAAGTGATCTGTTGTAAGTCGAGAACTACCTGTAGTTTGTAACTTTCAGGTTTTTGGCTGTTGACTACTATATTTACAAAATGGTAGGAGCTCTTTACAGCCGTTTAGAGCACCATGGCATAGTTCGGAATGCATGAGCCAACTTAAACAATTCAAATGTTTTCATAGGATAAAACCTTGAAACTCCACAGGTAGTCCTGGACCTTACAACCATTCATTTAGTGACCATTCAAATGACAACAGCACTGAGAAACGTTACTTATGACTTGTCCGTGCACTTATGACCATCACGGCATCCCCATGAGCACATGATCAAAAATTCAGGCACCTGCCAACTGGCCTGTCATTAGCAATGGTTGAAGCATCCTGGGGTCCTATGTTCACCGTTTGTGACCTTCCTACGGGTTCCCATCAAACAAAGTCAATGGGGAGCATCGTATTTCGAACAGAACAGAATAACAGATTTGGAAGGGACCTTGTAGGTCAGGGGTGTCAAGCTCGATTTCATTGAGGGCTGCATCAGAGTTGAGTTTCATCTCATGGGGGTGGGGCATGGCCAGGGTGGGTGTGGCCAGCTTGACGTCACTTGTGTTGGGGGCGCCTGTGGTGGCCCAAACGCTCTGTCAGTGTAAAGGGCTCCCGAGCTCCGCTTTTGGCTGCAACGGCTTTCTGCAACCCTCTGCCAGCCAAAACAGAGTTCAGGAAGGCTGTCCGCAAGTGGATCTATACATGCGCTTGCCTGCCACTTCCGTGGCCCAGTTCTGAATGAGCCACAGCCCGGTTTGTGGGCTGTGGCCCCGGAATTGGGGACCCCTGATATACAGTATAAGTCAGGCCTGTCTAACTGGCAGCCCACAGTGGCCACGTCCACCCCAGCGCCACAAGACAAAAAAACATTGCGATATGTCACGATACGCAATCAAGTTTGACACTCATAGTATAAATAGTCCTCAACTTAAAACCATTTGTTAGTGACAGGTAGCTCAAAAATACAGTGGTACTGAAAAATGTGGCGTGTGATTGGTCCTCAGACTTATAATCATTGTAGCATCCCTGTGGTCTCATGATCAAAACTCAACAAGCATGTATTTATGATGATTGCAGCATTTTCTGGGTTCATTTGATTGCCATTTGTGACTTTTCCCGAAACCTCCATTAAGCCAACAATGGGGAAAGCTGGACTTGCTTAATGATGACCAATTCACTTAAAACATGATTCACGGAGCGACTGTGGCAAAAAAAGGTAAAATCTGATGTGACTTGCATAATAACGGCCTTGCTAAGCAACGGATATTCTACTCCCAGGTATGATAGTAAGTCAAGGAATAACTGTAGCTTGCCTAGGATATTGTTTCCTGCTTGTTAGTTCGTGGATTAGGGTGTTGTTTACTGTTTGATTCTTTGTCTGGTGTTGATCCTGGTGTTAATCCTTGCTTATCTGAGTGTTGATAGCTGGCAAAGAGATTTCTGGTCTCCATCTCTTCTTTTTTAGTTCCACAAAAGTTACTTGATAATGAATTAAACAGCTGGAGTTTGCATTTCTGGCTTGTCACTTTATTTTTATTTGGATACACGCCTGTTCTATTTTTAAAGTATGGCTCTTTATTAAATATATTGGAGGTGCGTGACTTAATTTTAGGAGAACGTGACTGCTGTGCCAACAAATTCAAAGCTTGGAAAAAGTAGCTGATATAAAACTCTACCCATGGATTTTTTAGCTGCATATTATTAGAACACTCCGCAAGTTTTTCTTCCTGGCCGTTTTATAGAATGTTTGCAAAACAGATTTGCATAAAACCATGTAACACTTTAAAACATGTATGATCGTTACAAGCTAAATATACAGTATATGACAGCGTGTAACATTAAAGCAGGGGTGCTTAAATCCAGCCCACAGCGACGGCCTGGAAATATCAAAGGACTGGCCCATGGTGCCTCTGCTGGCCAAAATGGGCTGTGTGTACCCCTCCCCCTGGTGGCCTGTTTTTGGACCCCCAAGCCTTCTGCAACACTCTTCTGGCTAAAAACCGGCTGCGCGGAGGCCTTGGAAGGCCTCCGCATGGGCCGATTTTGGCCGGCAGAGTGCTGCTGGAGGCCGGGGAGGCCGAAAACGGGTGGCGCTGGCCTCCACGTAGCCCATTTTTGGCCAGCAGAGTGCTGCAGGAGGACATGGAGGGTGAAAACGAGGCACCGGGGGGGCGTGTACCCCCTGCATCCCATTTTGGCTGGTAAAGTACTGGAGGAGGCTGGCTGTTCAGGCTGAAGCGGCCCCCATGCCCTGTTTTGGCCGGCAGGGTGCTGCAGGAAGCATCGATCCTGTCTCCCCCCCGCTCTCCGCGCTACCGCCTGCCCGCGAAGGGGAACTACAATGCTGATTCAGCCCTCGAAGAAATCCAGTTTGACACCCCACATTAAAGGAAGAGATAGCTATGTGCGGATGTCCTTCCTTAAATGGAATTCTGTGTTTTAGATCATGTAAGGAAGACTTTTGAGATTGAAGGAGCAAATATGTGTCCTGGGATAATATTGCAGGACCAATCTGGGTCAGTTACTCTAGGACCAGAGGCTTTGTGTTCTGAGTTTTCAAGACTCATGCTGGTGGCCATCTTCAGAGAATCTCTCTGAAGATGGCCACCAGTATGAGTCTTGAAAATTCAGAAGACAAAACCTCTGGTCCTGTTGACTGACCCAGATTGGATCCGGCAAGACTTTTGAGTTTCAGTAAAGAATTGGGAATAAATGAAATAAGGCATATCCTTAGGCAAGACTTAATTATGCTCCACAAAAAAAAAATGCTCTATTTCCTAATTTAGAAGAGGGGGGAGAAGTAGAATCAGGCAAAGAAAAGAGTTTCATACAGAGTAGAGTAGAGTAGAAAATAGAAAATTATAGAATATAGAATATAGAATAGAATAGAATAGAATTGTCACTTTGAATGTACACTAATCGGCTTGCATTAAAATGAAATTACGTTGCATACAGCTCTCAAAGGGTCTCCACCTTTAATATAAACATGACAAGATATATAAATGTATACAAAATTACGCATGTATCCACATATTTTATATGACACTGAGGAACAATGTCCCACAATTTTTCCAGCTTTGCAGACCCAGGTTGGGATGAAGGCTGGGGTGGGGGGAATGGATCTATGCAAGTGGCAGGCGCAAAGTTCCATTTGTATGAGTGATGGATGCTTGCATGTGCCTGTGCCTGCACCTTGTGCAAATGGAGATGCACACGCCTGCCACCTGTGTGGCTCGTGACCCGTGCACAGCCCCGGGAGTCAGGGACCCCCGTCATACAGCATAAACTTCACGTAGAGTAGAGTAGAGTAGGGTATATTTACGTATATACATATCGAACACAGTGCAATCATCCTAGCATTTCCTCCGCCATACATACAACAATTAAAACCAAACAACATACATATTATTTATAAATTACTAATTTTGTTACCGTTATTTTGATCACAATACCCATTTTTGGTTCATCTATGGTGTCACATTTTGGGTCTATTTATCCTAGCTGTTTTATGTTCCTACTTCCACCTCTCGCTTCCAACCATCAGTAGAATCTATTCCATGTATAATAGTATTCTGTTTCCCATTTATTTCTTAGTTCTAGAGTTAATTCTGCGCAAATCAGTATTTTCTTTATTATCTCTCTTTCTAGAGGTGTATTTTCACTCTTCCATTGCTGGGCGTATACCATTCTCACTGCTGTCAGAATGTATAGTATTAAATAAATTGACCCTTCAGCATAAACTTTTTAGAATGCAGGATTCACTCCCTAATATGCTTCTTGGGCTGGATTTGATGGTTATGGAAGTTGGTCACTTGGGTGGCAGATAAATTGCCCTAATGAAGTCTTGGCTGTTTTAAATGAAGATACGTTGTTTAGGAAAGCTCATTCTGAAACAAGTTTTGTATTTCATGTTACAGAAATCGATAAGTTCCAGAAAGGAGAAGGCAAAGAAGAAGAAAAGTACATCGATGTAGTGATTAACAAAAACATGAAACTGGGGCAAAAAGTATTAATTCCAGTAAAGCAATTTCCTAAGGTGAGTTCAATGCACACACAAGCAGATTTGCTGTTGTGTCTGCTCATTGTGTTTCATGCAGCGCGCCACGACTGTAACAGATTTTCAGATTTGACAGCGTAGCTCGAAAGAATCATGCAATCTTTCCGCAAATGTTGGGAAATATAGATTCTGTTTTATTTTTTATTTTTTTTAAAAAAATATTCCCTGGGTATATTCATTAATTAGTTAAATAATAATATGATAATTAGTACTATGTAGTGTTGAAAGTTGTGATTCCCCTCTCTTCTAGGAAAACATTAGAAGGGGAAGGAAATTCCCCTAAAAAAAAGAAAGGAAGAGGTGAAAACACAAGCAGGGTCAGCTCCATCAGCCCCCACCTTTTGTCAAGTAGGGCTATTAAAATAGCTGGAGCCAGCTTACAGAGAAAAAAAACCCCTACAAACTAGCTAAGATCCTTTCCCATAGAAATCAAATAGATGGCAAGTTATAAAAACTTGTGAAAAGCAAACCAAAAGGCATGGCAGGAAGGAAACATGATAGCAAACAAGCAACTACAAAGGATCAGGACCATAAAACAGTTACTCCTACCAAGATCCCTGGAAGAGATCCCAATCTCAAGAGACAGGAACTCATCACACACACACAAATCAAAGACTTCAAGGGTTCACACTTACAAAATCAAAGGATCTGAAGGGTATAAGAAAGGGTTTCTCTCTACTCACAAGATTAGATTAATCCTAGGAACGCTGTGAGATTTCTTACCTGCCTTCCCATTAATAAACTGATTCTGACTTTCAACGCAGCTGACCAAATCATTTTGCATTTCTCCCAGCCAGGAAATTTGAGTCCACAAAAGGAAAGAACTTTGCCTATTCCTTAAAGGGCAAGATTTCTTTTTTCCTTTCCTCGGTAGTTATAAAATGTTCATGTTACCAACCAATGCAAATGAACACTTTTTTTGATTGCACAAAACATTGTTGCAAAAGCACTGTAGAAACATAAGAAGGGTGCAATTCTGAACAGTTTTTTGAATCTTTGTTGTTTCACAAATCCCTCTCATTTTTTAGATCATTTTTTTAGTACTTTAGGCATAGATGATTTGTAAAACAACAAATGTATCTGAACGAGTAACTTCCCCAAATCCCAATGCTTGATCAATAAATGAGTCCATTTTTAAAAATCATTAAAATAATTGAACAGTGTCATCCCAAGAGCTGTTAAGACTCCGTTTCAGTTTTTGGCATTCTCTTTTGTAAGATAAATGTAAATGCACACCAAGAGAGCTATTTAGTTGTTGTCATTTATTTATTCAACTGCTGTAGCTGTGCATCTCAGTCAGTGATTCTCAATTCAAAAAAAATATTACAATCAAAATACAGATGGTCTTCAACTTACAGCAGTTCGTTGAGTGACCATTCGAAGTTAAATGGCACTGAGAAAAGCGACTTAACAACCATTTTTCACACTTACACTGCAGCATTCCCACAGTCACGTGATTTCCAGTGGTGGGATTCAAAAATTTTTACTACCAGTTTTCTGTGGGCGTGGCTTGATGGGCATGGCCATGTGACAGGGTGGGCGTGGCTTTTTTCTTTTTTGCAGCCCCCATCCATTTTTTGGGCCATCTGGGCCTCAGAGGAGCCTCTAAGGGGGGGTGTTTTTGCTCCCCTAAGGCTCCTCTGAAGCTCAGGCAAGAAAAAATGGAGGTGGGTGGGTTGAGGCTTTTTTTTTTTGCCTTCCTGGGCCTCAGCAAGGGGTATCCTGGCACAGTTGATCTATGTACAGCTGATTGTCAGGAGGGGAAAAAAGGAAAGAAATACCTTAGGCGAATGTCAGGCGGGCAGGGTGAGCGAGCATTGGATGGGAGGGCGACCGGGTGCGGGCGTGGCCAGACAGAACTTACTACCAGTTTGGCGACCCATGCCAAATTCTTGCTACCGGTTCGCCCGATCCAGTGTGTTACCGGCTGAATACCACCACTGGTGATTTCCATTCAGATGCTTGGCTAAGTGGTTCACATTTATGAATGTTGCAGGGTCCCGGGGTCATGTGTTTCTCTTTGGTAACCTTCTGACAAGCGGAGTCAACGGGGAAGCCAGATTCATTTAACAACCGTGTTATTAACTTAATCACTGCGGTGATTCACTTAACAAGGGTGGCAAGAAAGATTTGAAAAATAGGCTAAACCCATTTAAAAAATTTCTCACTCAGCAACATAAATTCTGGGCTCAATTGTGATTGTATTTCGAGGAATACCTGTACTAGAAACATGTTAAAATGATTAAAAACAATAGAAACATCCAAAGTAAATACTATTTTATTTTACTAGTAAGTATTATTGGGCTCTTTAATGTACCTTGACTTCCATAAGATGTTACCAGTATTGTTGTTTCAAAAGAGAGAGAGAGAGACAGAAAGAGAGAGAGACAGAGAGAGACAGACTGAGAGTGAGAGCGAGAGCTCTACTAACTAAAGTTGTGATATTAGTTATTACTTTTTTGAACAGGTGATATAGTGCCTGAAGCAGGATTAATAGGTATGTGCAAAAACTAATTTTCTGAGAATTGAATGTTACAGAGAACTGATCTGACCATTTGGAGAAATCTTGAATTTCCAGGATTTTTGGGAAACAGAAATGTGGGTTACTTCTGGTTTGGAGGATTAACTCCAGGAAAACAACAGGTAGTTCTTGACTTCTGACCAGTTGCTTAGCAACCATTTGAAGTTACGAAGGACAGCTCCAGAAGTTTCTTACAATCTGGAAGTTCCAACAGTTGCATACTCCACTGTTGGTCGTAGGGCTATTTTGGGGGAGCTTGGCAAGTAGGTTAACTTTACATATGGTTGAAGCATCCCATGGTCAAGTTGCTCTAATTCACTATGCTTTTTGCTGGATTCTGGTCTTTTCAGCTGGTTTCTGGCCCAAAAAAAAACAAAAAAGGTCCACTGGGAATACATGGATACCCTTAATGACCATTGTAAAAAGAAGTCATAAAATTGGGTCTGATAATGTGAGGGCCCTAACTTACGACTTTCATCACTTAATGACAGAAATCTGGGTCATATTATGGTTATAAATCATGGGGTTCCTGTACAGAAAAGCCTTCAGAACGTTCCTATCAGCATAGAATGGTCGATCCTGCACATCCCTCGGCTAGAAAATAAATTAAATGGTGATTTGAATTAAGAATGTAGACAGGTATTTAATCCTGATGGTTTATGTATGCAGTAGCATGGTTTTTGACACTTCTGACAGATGTTTCCAGCCATACCTCAGAATGCCCCTAATTACATTTCTGTTCTAGTTTAAATATAACCAAGCAGCTGAAGATGCCTGATCCATTTGTGTGCGTGTGTGTGTGTGTGTATATGTGCAAGCTCCATATGCCTTTTTATAAAAGGAAGAACTTGAAGTTTTTTTAAAAATGGGTTGCCTTGTAGCAATAAGAATCCAATCCAATTCAGAATAGAGCTGGAAGGGACCTTGCGAGGTCTTTTAGTCCAACCCCCTGCTCAAATTGCCAGCGATTACTTGCCAACTTATTTTACCAATAGCAAAAGGAAGGCTGGTGCAGTCACAACAATTAATTGTACCCTGACACACCAGCCACAAGGCTGCTGTTCTTAACATCTGTGGCTGTGTATTGTCAAAAATGGAGGGTGGGGGAATGGTTTTCTAAATTGCTTGCATCAAGTAACAAAAGCAGAGTTTAATATTTCCTAATTGATAACTTTGGGTCAGTCTGCCATGCTCAGTCTTCAGATTTATATCTTAAAGTAGCTCTTGACATCGCGAAATAGATTTCTTGCGTGGTTTACTGTAAATGAGTAATTCCTCATTTTACAAATGCACTGAAGATTTATTTATCTGCTTTCCCTTAATAGCGTACCTTGCCGAGTATTTCTGGCTGTTCCGTTACTGCAAAAAAAAAAAAAGGCCTTGTAATCATCAAATCATGACAGGATTCGGATTATATTGACCACTGTTCCATTAAACTGAAAACTAGATCTTTATGTATGTTAACTATGGAGCACATTTCAAGCAATGATCATTTCTAATAAAGTGAGGGAATTGTTGACAAGGCATTACGGATGTCTGGAGGGTTTTTATTGTTTTTTTAAAGTATTCTTACTAAATGAGGCTGAATCTATACAATAAAGTTTAATAGCAGTTCCCCTACTCCCTTCCCAGTAACTCTCATGGCTTCTTCAAAAATTAAAAGTTTGCAAATGCTGCTGAATTTTTGCTGTTCTTCCTATAAATTGTCCAAGTCCCACAGAGAAGCCATGTTAGCTCCAACTATGAATATCTAGATCAGTCGTTCTCAACCTTTTCTTCGCCATGGGCCACCTTTAAATACCTTTTGTAGCCACGGACCCCTCAAGACTTAACTTAAGAATTACACCACAACATTTTTTCAAGTCCTTGTGGAGCCCCTGTGACAACATCACGCCCCCCCCCCCCCAAAGAGGTCCACAGGCCACAGGTTGAAAACCACGGCCTAGATTATCAATTAAGAGGCAGCCTTTGTGAATTTGACCTCCAGTTTGGTTGGGCTTTTTGTCCCATAATTCCCAGCTAAGACTAGTCTTTGGGAGTACAATTCCCAGCCAAGCTAGCTAACCCCAGATTGGGAAAGGCTACACATAAGTTGTGTGATTATTCAGTGTTTAAATAATTGATGAATACCCTGGTCTACAAGGAGAAAGCCTCAGAAATGAAAGTAGCTTAATTTAATCAGAATTGGGTCAATAACAAAAGAAAATTAAGTCCTGAGTATTAATTGGCTCCAGTTTCCAAGATAACAGCTTCAGGTCAAAATTGCGTCCAAGTAATTCAAAATTACGAGGGTGTGTGTGTGCGATTATGCTCCATAACTTTTCTGCAATATGTTATATAGCAATGAGAACAGTGCCTCACCAATCATAAATTTTATCTTTTTATTGATTCCAATAACATAACTTTCCATTCATTTATTGGTTTTTCATGGAACATTTTCATGTTTTTTTGCATGTAA